CCCTACTACCTACCAATTCTTTCTCTCTCTCTCTCTCTCTCTCTCTCTTTTTCTCTCTCTCTCGCTTTTTCTCATCTCGGTTTCGTCGTATTGTATCCGTAACCGCTTTTTCTGTATACCACTTATACTGCTTTCTTTTTTTATATCAGCAACCACATCCAGACATTATTGGGTTCGCTCTGGCAGAGCTAAACAGTGATACTCTCTGTGTCATAACTCTTGTTATGCTTCTACTCTACAGCAACTTGAGATTCTAGGATTGCTGCCGTTGTGTTTGAGCAGCGAGGGCAAGGACGAGAGTTTATATTAGAAGGGAGTATTCAGGGGAATTAAATTACTTTTGACTATTAACAAGAGAATACTCCGGAGTATAGTGTACCGTACAGTACGCTTCGTCACTTCCTACTAACGCATAGTTTTTTCTTTGCTTGTTCAAGCATATTCACTCCGATCCACCCACCCCGGCTGCAGATAGCTCCAGTCATGACTCAGATCGAACCCCGTCCGGTATTTACCATACGCAACCAGCTCGACGGCATCCAGTTTGGCGCCCTTGTCCGTCAGCGCCCAGAGGCTGATTGCCAGCGTGTTTTTCGCGTTGTTGTTCTTGTTCGTGTTGATGATGCCCGGCGGGATGGGGAATGTATTCTGCGGTCCGATATGCGGCAGGTAATGCCCGAATTGGTACCCGTTCAGGAAGACGTACACCACTGCGGGGACGTCTGCTGGCGCGCTCAGTCGCAGACCGATCGGGACGTCCAGGTCTGGATCCAGGTTCAGCTCGAACGTCGTGATGTAGAACTGTCCGCCCGCGCCGGACACGCCCTCGAGAGGACTGCTGTCGGACGCTGTCGCGGGCGGCTCGTACCCCGGTAAGTGCCAGCCCATGCGTTCGCCGTACAGGCCTCCTTCGTTCAGGGGCCCGCGTGTCGGGTCAATGTTCTTCTCCCCGCCCGCGTTGCCCTGGATCTTCCACGATGTGAAGTTCCTTCCGCCCGTCAGCACGGCGCCCAGGATGCCTCGCGGATTCTGCGCCCCGGCGGGCTTGACGTTGTCTTCGTCGTGGCCCGTATAGTCGGTGACGACCGTCAGAACATTGTCTTTGGCCCGGAGCGTGCTGTTCTGGAATTGCAGCTCCGCCCAAGTCGCTGCGAGGTTGACATCGCCCGCTGATCCTCCCACGTATTTCCCATTCAGCCACGCTGACCACCCGGCCGCAACACCGTTCTGGACGGTGATATTGGCGCCCGTCACATTCTGCCCGTCGAACCGTCCACGGTACACTTTCACCCCGGCGTGATACCCATAGTCCCCCGAGTAGAGGACCGGAAGGGACAGCGGCGCAATCGCGTTCACCGAAACCGTCTTGTTGCATACCGTCCAGCGAGAATCGTCGTAGTTGGGATCAATCTCCGGGATTGTGTCCTGCGCCTTCCAGGGGCCAAGCTTGGGGAGCGAAATCACGACGTCCTCCGCTCCAGGGACTTGCCCGACCAAGCTTCCATAGGGTGTGCGTCTGACATTGATATGCTTCCCGTTCCACTGCACATTGTTGACCTTGGGATCTCCAGCGTAAACCCTGCTGGCATTAGTAATCTGTTACCTCAGGGATGATTGACTGACTGATTGATTGATTATGACTCACTCAATGAAAGTGGTGTTCGCATTATCACCCACAATCTCGATCGTATCGCCTTGGATAGAAGCCTGCCGGACCAGATATGGTCCTATGACAAAGACGTGTTGGTCAGGGCCCACCGCAGGGTCAGACGTGGTTGGAGGCGCGAAGAAGTTCCACGCGGTGAATTTGTCGAGAAGATAGATCAGCACTCCGTTCGAGAACTTGACCGCGGAAATGCCCTCTCCCTGCGTATACGAATAGGTCGTCGTTCCATTCTTGGATCGAGAGGCTGTGAAATTGGAGTTTCCGTACACGGTATACGTCAGACCCGGTGGAGGGTTTTTCAGCGCAAAGACCCCTGTCTGACCGGCATTGAGGTACAGAACGAGAACGTCGACGTCGAGGTTCGCATAAGTAAGAACCTCCGCGGAGGAAAAGAGCAGGGCCGAATTTCCAAACCTGTAGTCTGTCACGATGATCTTGCTTTGTCGACCGTCGAGTTGGACATTCGGAATGGAAACGGGTCCTATTGTCATTAGCTAGCTGCTCTTCACCAAAAAAAAAATTAAATCCAATCCATGAATTATTACCTGCAGAGGTATTGACATTGATTGCAAAATTTGTCACCGCTCGTGACGGACTGTCATTATGCGCAACAACATAAAACCCCGCCTGCGTGTCCGGGTTGCGCAACGCCCAGGTGTAGATGCCGTCGTCACTCGTGTACCCGGTGCCATTTCCAACCATGTCCGTTTTCAGCAGGTCGGACGACACGCGCGTAAAGAGTCCCAGCAGCTTCGTCTGCTTCAACTTGTCGCGGATCTCGCGGGTCTCGCGCAGCGGGGCGTCATAGTCGTAGGAGGTATACACCACGGGCGTCGCGCTGTGCCCCCAGTTGGTGCCTCCAAACGCCATGTACAGATTCTGCATCGTGACGCGGGACCCGATGTTGTTCTTGTAGTAGACGTCCGCGAACTCGGGCGACAATTCGGACGTGCATCCGTCGTAGAACACACCACCCCAGCCGGAGAACCAGCCACCTTCGAACTCGGGCAGAAACTCGGGCTGGGTGAACGAGTAGTTCTGGAACCATTGGTAGTACGTCCGCACGAGATTGAAGCCCGCGTTGGGATCCGTGCAGGACAGGCCGCCGGGGTACGAGTCGAGGCCGTAGATGTTCACGGCTCCCCCGACATCGTGATAGTCGGTCGACCAGCTCACGCTGCGCATGCCCTTCTCGTTGCTCGTGCTGGGGACCACCACCCCGGCGGCATCGAGTGCCTGCGCGATCTGCTCCATGTAGACCACCAGGGTGTTGTTTGGGCTGTACACCGTCTCCTGAAGCTCGTTCTCATGCTGCACGAGGATCACCGGCCCGCCGTTGGTGATCTGGTTGGCCGCCAGGATCTTGCCAATTTCCTGCATCCAGGGCAGCCACCGGCTATAGTATCGCTCGTCGCTGGTGCGTTCCTTGCCCAGCTGGCCGTTCGCTGCCCAGAGCGCCAGGCCGCCGGCAGAGGTTTCCGCATTGCAGTAAGGCCCAGGCCGGGCAATCACGTAGAGGCCAGCCTGCTTCGCATAGTCGAACAGCCGCTGGACGTTGTGGGCGCCGGTTTCAAAATCAAAGTGGCCCTCAGAGGCACTGTGAAAGCTCCAGAAGAAGTAGACCGACACGGCGTTGAAGCCATTCGCCTTCAGCTTCTGGAAGACGTCCAGCCACAGCTCCGGGACGGGCAGGCGCTGGTAGTGGAATTCCCCCGAGAAGACGAACAGTCTCTTGCCATTGACGGACAGACTGTATTTGTCCCAGGTCACTGCCGTGGTCTTGCCGTCGTCTGTTCGCCCCAGCAGCGTTCCAAGGACGACTGCCGGTAGAAGAAGGAGAAGAAGCGAAAGGAAGCGCATGGCTGGCCAATTCGATCAGTGCCGGAACCACATGACCCAAAGTGTGACCGTGTTCTTCCAAACTGTTAGCACAAGAGCAGCGCTTCCATCTGCATCTTCTCGTTTATGCATTAAATACAGACTGCTGTTCGCGCAGTCTTCAATTCAATCCCTCGGTCTTCGTGCCATCGATATGCCGGCGACGTCGTGATTGGTGGAATCTGTTTTTGCTTGATGCTAGCAAAATCTCCGCCGGCGTGGAGAGGCAGGCAATAATCGTCATTTTTAATTAATATTAGCTCGATTCGATTATAAACAGTCAATTGGCTGAGGACGAGCTGGTCGACAGACGGAGGCTCTTGGCAGGGTTGCGAGTGTATACAGAACAATCCTCCGTACAGTACTCCGTACAATACAACCGCCTCCCACACCGTCTTAGATGCAACTCTCGACTTGACAATCGCATAACTCTTAATTCATACTCATCCTGAAAACACTTGAGACAAAAAAAGACACAAAAAAGACAAATCTCCATTATCACGGCATAACTGCAACGCCAATCAAATGGAGGGGCACAATAAAAAACGCCATTCACAGATATAACCATAAAACAAAAGCATTAAAAAAACCCCTCTTATCATGCACATGATATAAAGTTACATTGACAGTGACGAGCAAAAAAAGACGAGAAATACAGGCGAAAGACCACATCAATCCCAGTCACGCCATTCATCTGGTGTGCCTGTACTAGGAGATTCTTGATCTTTGTACTCCCGATGGATGCCCAGAACCCGGTCGGCTTTGCTTCGCGAGTCCCGCATACTGCCCGCTTTCATGATACGGGCGCTGCTGGGGTGCTTCCTGCGCTCCTCGTCTGAGCCCGAGCTCGTGTCGTAACGCGGTGAGGCGGAGCCGTCGTGGTCGTGGCCGTCTTCGTCGTCGCTGTCCCCATACCGGGGTCGGGGAGACATCGGCCTCAGCGTCTTCATCGAGACGCCCGTGCTGGGCCGTTCATATGACTCTGCATGGGAGCTTTGGTCCGCATCCATGCGCAGATGCTGCGTTGCAATCGGCCTTCCTGGTCCGCTACTATTTCTTCGCTGCTGCTCTTCCACCCCGCTCATCCAGTACTCGTAGCTCTGCTGTCGCTGTTGCTGCATCCACTCCGCCCACTCCTGCTCCCGTTTTTGACGGATCCTCTCGCGCGCTTCGAGGAAAGCTGGGTTGGGTTCCCAGTACCACCCGTCGCCGATCGTCGTGCAGACCGGAAGCGCCCAAAGGAGCGGATTGTCGCCGAACAGGTGCCGCAGATTGCGCCGCCACCCCAGATCAAACGCATTCGGCAGCTTCTCGTTGTCCTGTGAGTCGAGGTATTCCTGGTATCGCTCTCGTTCCCGCTGCCTCTCCAGCTCCTCATACGAGCGATACAACGCCTGTTGCGCCGGCGTGCCGGCCGTATTCGATTCCTGCAGAAAAGAGAGAACGTCCTGTTGCTGCTGGTGAGGACGGGCCTCGGGACTACGCGCCAACGGAGAAGGCCGTTCTTCTCCTTCCTCGGCCCGCGTCACGCCCGGAATAGCATTGGCGTGAGCTTCGATGATCTGCTGTCCATAGCCCTGAAGCCGATGGCCAAAACTGTCATCCCCGGACGCCGCGCCCGTGTGGCTGTCGTTGTTCATAGGGGTCTCGAAACGGTGCCGTTCCAGCGCTTTTCGCAGCGGGGAGAGATAGCGAGTCTTCTCGAGGGATTCGATCGTGGTCATGCCGCGAACCGCAAGGCTGATGTGCCACGCGGTAAACCCAGTCAACACCAACCCAATGATGCCTCCGATAACTGCGAGCAAGACGACATTGACCGGTAGTATAGCGTCCGTCAACTGCGTGTCGTTCAACACCGCGTCCCAGATCCACAACGCCGCTGTAACAAAGCAGACCCAGCAGAAGAACGAAGTATATATCAAGAAGAGTAGAAAGGCCTTGTAATTGCGCAGCCCGACGCACGTGGCCAGCCACGGGCAGTGATGATCCATCTTCAGGACACATCGCTTGCAGCTCGAACAGTGATGCGTCCGATCGGGCTTGGGACATTGGCATTTCTTGCAGTATCTCGCGCCACCGGACGAGTTGACGGTGTAGGACGTGAATTCGGGTAATTCCGTCGTCGGCAGATGGCTGTATTGACCTCGACCCTTGCCTCTAGTGGTATTGAGCGGGGATCCGGGATCGGTAAAGACGGCGACCGTATACGAGGCATTGAGGAGGAGATAGAGCGAGATTCCCACAATCGAGCTTGGCAGGCCTGAATTGTGCCAGTGGTCAGTTTTCTTGTAGATCAAACAACCTTGGAAAAAAATCTATCTATAGATAGACTCTCTTATGGGCACACCCACCCAGCCACGAGCTCTTCGTAGGCCGCCGCAATCCAATCCCAGCCTCAACATACACCGCCCACGTCGTGAGGCCATAGACAAACGCTAGAGGAAAGTATCCCAGTGCCGCACAGCAGTACCGTTCGATTTTCCGAGCCCACCGTCGCGTCCGTCGTTTGCGCAGATTCGGCGACGCTGGAGGAGACGGAGCGAGCGTCGCCATTGTTCTCACCCACCTCTCACTTTTCTCTCTCTCGCGTAGTGTTGGAAAGGACGAGCTCTGAAAAGGGGAAAATGTATCAAATGGAGGAAGCAGTCATTGTCTTGCTTGCTTGCAAGCTCATTCCGATGCTTCGACCTCGACTTCGACCTCGACTTCGCACGGATATGCGGGAAAAAGGCAGAACGAACAAATGCACGAAGAATTACAGATTATCTAGATTAATTCAAGAGAGAAAGAGAAAAAAGACAAACAGGGCCAGAAAAGAGGAGCAGAGAAACGCGAGACACCACCGGAAAGGTCATAAGCAACGCAGAGGCTTCGTTCGGCTAGTCGGCGGCTGATTGCTGGCTGACGGACCGATCGATAAGGCTGTGGAGTTTTGGCGCTGACGAATCCACGGATCGCGCCCGTCCCAAGACTCGCGACACAGCCACGTTTGTTGACATCTAATATACCGAAACGTTACATCCAACTACCGATGCTTCTGCTTAGAACGTGGAGAAATAATAATACGGTTGTATGTATGTACGGCAGTCGAAAACTGGCTGTTGAAATGGCTCTAGTTTTAGCGACTTTTCTTCTGCAGCCCTTAGCTGAAATGTGTGCAGCATAACCAACTCCCCAGAGTTGTGAATCGAAAAAAAAGTCATCAAAAGGATAAAGAATATTGGAATGAATTGACACCTCCCCTCCAGACCGAGACCACCGAGATAATAAGAAAACGCTGCCCACTATCCTTCACCGCAGACCAAAGACCTTTCTGTCCACCAATGGCACCAATCTCAGTCCAGCTCAGAATTGTAAAACGCCAGGGGTTATGCAAGAAAATTCGTGACATCAAACATATACAGATATATAAATATATATACCAGCAACGGATAGAGACAGAGAGAAAGAGATCCAGGGTATCTCCAGGGTATCTAGATTAGGTCGGAGTCAACTGCAGATTACCCAAGCTGCACCAGTTTTTGATAGGCTGCAAAACATAATTAGCCAGGAAACGCAAAAAAGACAGAGGAAACACCAAGGCACGAAGAACTTACCAGGCAACTCAACCGGTAGCACCATGAGCAGTTCGATTGCGGGTATTTGTAAAAGTTCGTCAACAAGACGATAAAACCGATCACAACCGCGACGAGAGCGCCCGCCCGCACGAGCCACCATGCCCACCACAGGGGCTTGCGGCCTTGGAAAAACCGAAGGGGCTGACTGCTGATGAACGCTCGGTCCTTGTCCTCGTCCTCCGCACGCCCAGGTCCAGCACCGCCACTCATGGCGACGTACGGAGTTCGGGGCAATCCTATCCGTTCCCGGATATAGTTTGGAGAACGCATCATGCAGAGACCCATGGCCAGGCCCATGATGAAGCCGCCGATGTGGGAGAAATTGTCCAGGCCGGGCAGGAGACCCAGGGCGAACGAGATGCCAACCTCCAAAATCATGAAGATCAGTTCCACCATGGGATTTCGACGCTCTCTCCATGTGTAGAGGAGGTCCAGCAAGAAGAGCGCCATAATCCCAAACAGACTGCCAGACGCCCCTGTGGACGTAATGCCTTGCGCAGCGTAATTCCCACCTAGCACGAACCCGAAGATGCCGCTCGAGAGATACACCAGTCCATACCGCCACCAGCCAATGTTCCGCTCCATGTCCGCGCCCATCGTCATCTGCATCAGCATGTTGAACCCAATGTGGATGATGCCGCCGTGGAGAAACATGGGAATGATGAAGCGAAACCATTGATTGGGCTCAGGGCGATCATTCAAGGAACCACCCGGGTGAGGATTGGGCACACCACCGAATCCGCATAGCTCGGAGAGCGTACAACGATTGCTGGGGTCGTTGGAGTCGGTAGAAGTCGAGTTGGGGCAGTTCCAGTAGATGACCTGTTGATTGTCTTGGACCCCGGGAACGTTCTTCATACAAGGCACGAAGCGGGCTCCCATGTTGATCTGAACGTACGGCGAAGGCCCGATCATCGGGTTGAAGGTCGGATGGATCTCAATCGGACTGCCCGTCAGTTGCGCTGCAGACGACGATTAGTTTTTATCCATCATACGTATCAGCACGGATCTCGCAATACTCCTCACGTACCATTTTTGACCAACTCGCCTATAAACACGGCGACATCAATGATCGTTAACAGATATGTCACCCACGCGATCTTCTTCTTAAAAAAACCCCTCCGTCTTCTCGCTCTTGCGTCTGTGTCCGGGCTCAGCGGCACCTCGGGATGGTACTGCGTGTTCTGGTGCATCCAATCGGGCTCCGGCACCTGAGGGGGTTGCTGGGCATTCGGCTTGAGAGGAATATCTTCTGCGTACTGGTCCGGACCATGGTTTCCCCCACCGACGGTATCATAGTGGTGGTCCGAGGTAAAGGAGTTCTGGCTATGCCGGTGGTTATACGGGTCGCTATGGGGATCGTATGGAGACAACGATGGAGGGTTGTTGGACGGCGGGTGGTGGTATCCGTCGTAAGGGGCATACTGGCCGTGCGATGGCTCGTTTCTGAAGCTGTTATAGTAGTCGTTTGCTGCCATCTTGGGCGACGATTTTTAGCGAGAGACCGGATGGCAGCGGCGAGGAACGAAAGACAACGATCGATTCAAGGATGACCTCCCTGCTGTAAGGACTGCATGCAGAGACGAGAAACCGGAACGTAGAAAAAAAAATAACTTCGACTGAAGGACTGTTCGAATATTCAAAACAAGGCGCAATACGATGTTTGCGACCGGAGTGTCCACTAAATGCTGAGACACTCCCAGTCACAGCGCCATGCACGTGGGAGCGACAGTAAGCAGTGACTAGTGAATGGCAGCTGCAGTCGAGGTCAACGAGGGACTCGACCAGCAGACCAAAAGAGGGATGCCAATTGCAGAATCTTGGAAAAGGCAGAATACGATCAACGAGGCATGAATTATCAGGGTTGGGACGGAAATAAAGCACTCGGCCATGGACGCACAGCAGGGCGGTGCAGACGCGGCATCCACTCCTGGCGCGGATCGGCGTCACCGTCAGTGCGTCAGTGCCTTACGAGTTACGAGCGCTGTCTGTACGCTGTTAACTGTAAGGTATCAGCTCTGCTTGGCATCTCAGCCACACGCACACTGCATTTCTCCACAATTAAGGCTTGCTAAATATTCAGAAGCCAGCCGATGCTAGCAGCCAAGGCTAGTGACGCGTCTCCTCGACGGGAACTTTGTGATTACATTAACAGCTGCAACGACAGTATTAATATTATTTGCTAGGTACTACTGGATACAACTGCTAAGAAAATAAATACACGTGTAGGAACGTCAAAGCTTCCAGCAGGCCTGTTCGATCAGCCACACCGCGGCTGGGGATTCCGCTTCCAATTCCTCCCTTCTCCGCCGCAATCCCCATCCAGATTCCAGATGCCAATGTCGACCGTTCCACCGTCAGCCCTGTCATGTCATGAAACGATCAATTTCCATGTCCATTGACCCACATGAAACTCCAAACATGGCGTGGCCCGCTCCGTCATTAAGTCCTCCTCTTCGCATGGTCGCATTAGTAGGGCCGGGTGACGCTCCTCTCCCGGTCAAGTCATTAGAACTATGCATTATATAGAGAAACACGCCCGGGCAATCCGACAACGCCGTGGTAACCCGAGTCGACTAGTAGAAAGAGGACTTGGGTATCGTTACAAAGCCTGATGGAACGTCAGCACTGCAACGATAGAGATTGTGGGGGTGGGCACGTACAGTACAACAGAACAAGAAAGAACCCCTTCCTCACCGACTCCCAAAAAACAACGATCAGAACGAAGAGTAAAATTACAGAACGTGACGCTGTATACTTTGTACAATCATAGAACGTCCTATAGCAGGTCGGATGCTCCCCTCAGGAAGCCAGAGAGGTGCTCGTCGAAAGCGCAGCCGATTGCGTTCGGAATCCTTTGTCAAACATGTCAAAGACGACACCCACATCCTCGCTGTGGCCGGTCAGAAGCCATATAAGGCGTCTGAGCTTCTGGTAGAGAAGCTGTGGGAAGTAGAGCAGCGAAGCCCAGATGAGGAGGGACAGGAACACGATCACGAAGGTGTTGGCAACGAATTTCTCGCCGGGGGTCATCACGTAGACGCCGAATGTGACCTCGTAGCGGTAGTATTCGAGACGGATGCGGTCGATAACGCGCTTGAGAAGGCTGCGACGCTGGCTGGTGGGAGGTGATGGCGAACTGCTGGTCGTCGACATTGTGGAGGAATACTTGCTGATAAGCTCGTCCACGATCTGAGGCGAGTGAGAAGAGATATGGGACGGTGCCGAAGGGGTGTAGAAGGAGTGCATCTCAGTCGCCATCGCGACTTGATTGTCGGATGGCAGGCGGGTGTGACGCAGTGGCCTCAAGTCGAGTTGTCGGGCCTTCTTGAAAAGGCCGTCACAGCTTGACTAAAAGGGTAGGGACAACTCGCGACCTGGGCCTCTCTGCAGATTGTGTTTCTCGAGAGTTGGCAGGACGACGGGGGCGCGTATTTCGTCAACAAGAGATTACGCAGTCGACAAATCGGAACGAAAGGAACGAGGAGGGTCTGTCACCAATTCAAATAGGGACGAAGAAGAGAAGAGCGACAAACGAAGAGAAACACGGGGGAGGACAAAGAAAGCAGAGCACAGCACTCCTGGGATGTTGCACAGGCAGGACTGGGACTTACAGGACCAGCGGATAGGGAGTGATTTAGCTAATGCAGGCTGATAACCAGCGCGGGCGCCGGAAAAACCGGAGTTGAGGCGATCCGTCCGTTCTTCGATCGATGACTAAGCGCCCCCAGCTAACGTAATTCCCAACCGAACCGGACACCCGACCGAACCGGACACCAACATCGAATTCTGACCGCGGTCGAAAACTTGAAGCTATACACAACAACCAAAACACGTGTATTTCATTGAGTTCTATATATTTAGACGTGTAGGACAACCAGTTCTAATATGTCCCTGAATATGGCAATTAGAACATGTTGGTGGAGCACGTCTTGGCGCGTTGGAAGGTAGAGATGCAGAACCCATAGCTATCTCCTGTATCTCATCTCCTTGCTCGTTTCTCTGGTGTATGAGATCTCTCGCTTCCTGTACAGAAAGGCCTTGATTAGGAGACATCTGGCGCCTTGATCGCCCTCGTTTCTGCTTCTCTTTCTCGTTTGCCATACGGAGATCGTGGTTTTCCTGTGCTAGAATAGCAGCGTTGTATAGAGCTATCTCACAACCCTTTATTATCTGCTGTAGCGCCCGTTTTGAAGGTGTTGAAGGACTTTGAGAACCCT